TTCCTTTACTTATTGCAGGTAAAGGAATTGGTATCCCATTTAGAATCGCAAAGGCTTTGAGTAATAAAAATGCCCAAAGTTTGGGTTTTCAGCAAACTCATCTGAGATCAATAACTGCTCAACTTTGATTTTTTGGATAGTGATTAGAAGAAAGGCTTGGTTGTTCCTAAAGGAGTTCACCCAGTGTGAACTTTCAGGCATATCTAGTGTAATCCCCTAATTCCCCCATAATTCTCTCATAAGCGTCAGTAGTGCAATCTGGTCCAATAAGTTGAAAAGTGGTACATGAACCCCCTGTCCTACAGGCTTTCTTGCCTGGTCATTTCGCTTTTTTTCTCTTTCCTTTTAATATTTCTTGTTTCTGCCTGTTTATAAGAACTAGTAATGTTTACTCGTTTCTCACCTTGTGAGCCCAGGTTCGGGTACATCTGTTTTTTCTTTCTTTCCACGTTTCATGACATCTTAAACTTTCACTATGGCCCTTGAAGTAGAAATCAGTTTTCTTCAAAATCTGGTTTGTTAATCTCCCGTTGCATGTTGTTCCTTCTTAGTGTTCATAAGAACCTGCGGCTCGGGCTTTTCGTTGTAGCGCGCCTTTGAGCGCATTCAATAAAAATAAAAATAAATTAACCCACAGCTAAGGTTTCTAGTCCAAGGAAGAGGTAACGGTAATGGTTAGGACAAATACCATTATCTCGCTTTTCACTGCCCTCACTAAGATGATGGTGGAGAAGATACCCCGTCCGGTTTTACTGCAACATCTTCAAATGTCGCCAACCCCGAAAAGGTGTAGAGGATGGTTATAATGTTAGGCCTATCCAGATCATTTTCGAAGTTATTTTCAGATCCTCCTTCAGTTTCTTACTACAAGTTTTTACAGTCTGCGATGAAAGGTAAAGCAGTAACTCCTTATAACACTCTTCCAGATAGTATGCCATCACAATTTTCATGGAATGACAATTTTAAAAGTTTTCGAGACCTAAAAATTCGTGCTCACTACTTCTCTGATGAGCAGGAGTAGCACATTGGTATGGAAAGTGGAATAGTGTAAAGGAAAATTAGGGGGAAATGTCTTCTGGAGAATGCCAATGCGCTAGAACCCAAAGCACCTTCGGGTAGTTGCAAACGACCATTGTTATCAGTGACTCTCGCTCCATGTAATTCTGTTAGACTCTGCATTTTTAAAATTCTTTGTTTATTATGATTTCATTAAACAGAAAAAAAATAAGTTTGGTGATATGCAAGGTGTTTGCAAAGCAAACAACACACTTCACTACCCAGGACCTAACCCCTTCTTATAATCCAATACGGTCTACCTAGAAGTCCCATCGGTCCCAACAGTCCAGGCACTACTGGTCCATATGGTCCATATGCTGGAAGGCCACCAGGTCCCCACACCATAGGCATTGGGTGTGGCGGCAGGAATTGTCCTGCTGCAGCAGGGTATGGACAAGGAAGCCATGGGCAAGGGCCGTAAGGCCAAACGCCTGGCGTCGTTGTTTCCGTGCCAGTAGCGGATGTTGTTGTAGGTGTAGTTGTCGATGTTTCTGCAGGTGTAGCTGTCCATGTTGTTGTAGAGTCAGTTGCCAAGATGGTTGTAGCGGTAGTCGTGGTGGAATCCGTGACACTTGTCGTGGTGGCATCTTCACGTTTCTGAAATGAATCTTCATTAGCATTTGCAGATTGACATTTGGGGCTGTGCGGGACTTGTCCGGGAAAGCAGAAAGACGAGAACACCCATTTCTCAATGAACCTGTACCTTCCCGGATAGGGTTACCGCCACAACCACCTATTCTGTTTTTTATGGAGTTTTTCGCTCTGAAGTGCCATGTTTTGCAGGAAGTCATAGAACGGAATCGGTGTGAGAAGCGTTGGTTAGGATGAATATAGACTTTAAAAATTCACCTGTCTGGGAAAAGCAGCAACCGGCCCTGCAACCAGTAAAAGGACTGGGAAGATCATCTGAAAAGTTGATACAGTGAGAAAGCTATCAAGATAGCTTAGTTTCTCGAGCTGGAGCAAGCAGATTGAACTTTTTTGAACCACAAAACTAAGATGGATCAGATCAAAAAACTTTTAGATGTATCCGAAACCAGTCAAACAGAATCAGTCGTCGCAATTAGTCGAGGCAGGTTTCGGGTCTGTCCAGAGCGAAATGATAGGTAATATAGTCTTTGGATAAGAAATATTACAAAAATCTCTTCTCGGGCAGCTCTCCTATCATGTAAGGGATTCATGACAGAATGATGTTTTAGCTAGTGGAGACCTTGACATTCATGAGGATCTATGCCAACATGTCTACTAAACCCTAAAATGACCTTCGTTCCTATGGGAAATATCTGAGAAATGGGAGTAGGACTGGGAGTTCCGAGAGACTCTAACCCTTATATGCCATTCCTTGCACGTACATTATATGAAGAGAAAAGGGATTTCAAGAAGATATTTCAGGGTAAGATTCAAGTGAACATGCTGAGAAAGAAGCCTCCAAAAAGACATCGAAAGAAGAACTGGGAAAGGATGCATGAGGATAAGGATTTGCAGTTGCCCAAGAGGCATTGGTTGCAGGTCCCTCGGAAGCCACCGTCTTGGAACGTTAATAGAATGCGATGTAATCTACAGCAACGTCGTCGCTTTTATAGCATCCCAGGCAGCCCTTGTTTTCAAGGACCGGCCTACTGTGCAAAGGTAACATCTCCTACATCTATGCCAGTTGTATTTAATCAGCTAAAATAGCATGTAACATGCAACTCATTATCACATAACAATGACTCACTAAGGAAAAACTAATGGTGTTTTGCAAAATTCGATTTTTATATAGCAGTTGTTTTCACAATTAAGACACTAAAATTTTGATGTGGCGATTTTTCAGTTGCTCTGTCGGTTTTCAGCTTGCCTGCACATCTGCTCGTTCGTGAAGTTTCGCAGGATTATGAAAAAAGTAGTTATGTACAAAGTTCTTCGTGTAACTGATTCGCCGCACGCGGCAGTCGCGGACTAGTTGCCCCACTCGTCTGAGTTTGCCTCACAGCTTGATTGATGTTTTTTTTTGGCATGATTCTGCTGTACTTCTTTTGTTCCTGTATTTCTTACTCGCTGCACTGCTGCTGCTTCGTTCTGCTACATTCCTTCGTACATGACATCGCTTTCGCCGCGGAACGACCACTCCGATTCAACTGCACCACCCCCTAGTCAGATCTTAGTCGCCGACTAATGTCGAGGTGGAACTATGACATCTGGTACCTGCGATGTACCAGAAGGTCTTTAATGGTGATACACTTGAGGATTTTGGATTTTAAAAGACTGTGAACATACTAATGAAGCTTGTTAAGTTTCAAAAAAACACAACCTATGAATCTATTCAAAATAGTCCTTGCGGTGCCGAAACAAGTTCCTCAAGTCTGTCGCTGAAAAACGTGACCTAGAAAAATGAGTGGTGGTTTTGCTTAGACCTATCTAGAAATGAATTATGCAGCCAACTTGCTCTCAATAATGGTGAGACTACTGAATGCAAGGCCATGTACACGTGAATTTGTTTGTAATACTCGCCTAGATCAATTAACAGGTGCTGAACAGATAAGGAATTCATTGCCTTCGATCGACGTTTATACTCTCAGTGAACACCGAGCAGTATGTTGCCCTATTCCACCCTCAAACAGGTTCAAAACACTCAAACTGCATATTTATAAATTACGTATAGCCAAACGATACT